CATGCTGTTGCAAAGTCTCCCACTTGTCACCTGAAATGCGCAAAAAGGAAAACATCAATCTGATCAAGGGCCCAAAGGCAATGCGAAGAATGAGAAGCACATGCAATTGGTCCTGCGTCACAAACCGCTCCACGTTGGAGCGGACTGATTTGTTGAACGCTGCTGTTTTTGCCTCCTGGCCTTCGTCGGAAGCCCCTGGCCCTAACACGTCAGGCAAAGGCAAAGGCAACTGCATGTCATCTGCGTCTGGGACACCATCTTCTGCAGCCTGTTCTTGCACCCCGTCTGTCAAAGGCAGCTCTTTTGCCCCGTCAACCAGCTGCTTGCAAGCCATGCCCCAACCGCCCTTGGCCTGCACTTGTGATTCCGGGCGTGCAGTTTGGAAGCGCGCCAGGTATCTGCAAGTTGCGTGCTTCAGCAAGCCGTGATGCAGCGCAACAAGACCCAAAGCGTCAAGTGGAACTTCTATGCCGTGCCACCGATGACGTGGGAAAACTGGCACTGCCTGCGGCAAAAGCGCTGCAGGAACATGCTGCTCCATCCACAGCAAGGCTTGCTCCCTTGAAATGGGAATTGGAGAATGAAAATACACATGTTGTTCGTCCTCTATGTCCCCATTCAAGAAGAAGTTGAGAACAGCGGCGCGATAGGCGCGAGGCAGCGCTTGAGAATCCCCGTTGGCTTCATTGCTGAAAGTGTCTCCCAGGAAAATATTGTACACATCGAACCTGTGCTGGCGGACGCGCCCGTCAGGCGGAGAACCAACAATGACCACAAGTCTATCCCTAATTTCCTGCATGAGGCACTCTTGCAGGCATTGGGTCACGCCGCCAACACGCATCATGAGACCGAAATTCACCATGCCTGAAATCTGAAGCTGTGTCAATGAGAGACCGGCCCCCATAACTGTGCTGAGTTTATGCACATCGCACGGCAAGTGCAGCAAACAGAAATGGTCAGCTTCAGCAAGGAGAAGTCGCTCTGCCGCAGAGTTGGAACCGTGCCGGTCAGTAGTCACAAGTTGCAGCGCAAGTTGGAAGCTTTGGCTGAGCTGGCGCATGCTTGGGAGCGCGCGCTCAATTGATCTTTGGGCACTGGCAACCACGGTTGCTTTGGTGGATTCCAGCAGCTGCAGCCAAGTGGGCACAGACCCCATGTAGAATATGGGTTTCTCTCCTGACACCTCCATCAGGACGCCAACTGCAAATTTAGTCTGCAAGATTTTGCAAACAGTAGCATGCTTTTCATCGCCCCTGCGAAGTCTCAGAGGCGTCTCGTCATAAGCACGCTGCTTTATGAAGAGAAGGCCAGCGGCATCACCATCAGACACAAAGCGAACCATGCGTTTCAGAAACAGGTCCCAACACACCCCGCCTGCCTCCACCAGTCCTGATGCAGTCGTTCGGTAGAGCTTTGCAGCTTGACCTTCGCTCAAGCCGAACTTATGTTCAAGGCTGCTGCTTGACTGCACTGTGTATCCGGATTGCAAAACATGGGACACAAAAGCAAATGAGGCTTCTTCGCCAGGCAAGTCGGCATTGTCTGCACACTCTGTGTCTGGGGCTGGCTGGCTATCATCCAGTTGGAGTTGAGACGACTGGGCAGCTAGCATCATGGAGCGCGCAACTGTTCCACACTCGCCCGCAATCTGCCACAGCAAGCTCCTACCCGCCGCCTGCATCAGTTTGCGCAAGCGCTCAGGCATTTGCGGCCCCTGCTGAGGCAACCGCGTGACAACTTGCTGACACTGCCCTGAAATGGCTTCCTCATCTTCTGAATCTTCTGGGGCCCCGAATTTGGAGCAAGCAGCGCCCCAACTTGCCATACCATGATGAACATCCGCGCTCTCAGGCGCGTGAGGTGGCTGCCGAAATCTCGAACCAAGCAAACACGCAGCGCGAGTCATCAAGCTCGCCCTGGCCTGCCCTTCCGCCAAGTCATACAATGCAAGGACTGCAGCGAGATCAGGAGACCCTCAATCAACAAATTTGTTGCCCAGCAACTGACAAACTGCCAAAACCGTTTTTGGAAGTGTCCACAATTGCAAATTGTTCACACTCAGCCCCGCCCCGCGCAGTCCTGGGCCTCTTGACTGCGATCCAATCCTGGAGGTTGACCCGGAAGTGCAGAATGAAGTAGTTGGTCTTTTGGTTCAGCAGCGTCAGAAACCTGACTGCTAGTCCAAGATCGGTCTCCCCGAGCCCAACAGGCTTCTAAATCCAACACATCTCAGTCTGATAATCTGACGGCCACCCGAACAAACAATGAGCGCTGCCTTTTCCCGGGAACAAAGGAGATTGGTTTCGAGGGTGTGCGAACAAGACTTGTGCAAATGTGGAAGAATGATTGGACAAACATAAACGGTGGCTCCAAGAAACTGCTCTAATGGCGTTGGTCCCTCTTCGCCCTGCTCCGCCATGTCCATGCCATGGACATTCTCGAAAATGCCAGACTTTGGGCGGAAGGTCTGAAGCCAAACCACAAAGTCATCAAAAGAAGTGCCATAGCCCCGATGAGCCTTCACAGAGCCGTAAGCAAACCGCTTCGCCCTTTGAACTGAAAAGGGCTGACACGGGCAGCCTTGAACAAAAATGTCAGCATCCTGGGAGGGCAAACATTCGGAGCCAGCACTTGCGCCCTCGCAAAGCTGACAGCGGTCGCCCACAACCTGGCTCCTCATGCTGGAATGAAGGTGGCCCATCTCGAAGTTCGCCGTCATGAAAGCCCGGGCAGCTGGGCTTAAGTCTGAGGCAGCCAAGATTGTGTGCGGGATGCCCAAGGCCTGCGACAACAAACTGACACCGCTGGTTCAGCAATCAACACGTGTCTTGTCTGGTTCCACGATCAACCACTTGCAAAGATGGGCCGCAAACGACAGCGCCCCCGAAATTAGTGACTTCTGCAGGCCTGGCCTCCAGGACAGAAGCTTCAGCCAAAGTCCCACTGCAGCCACTGACGACACTCACGTGTTGCGAGGGCTCGGGCAGCCCCAGCGCCTTCACGTGCTGGAGAAGGCTTCTAGACCACGCAAGCTCGGGCAACAACACAACCGTTGGAGGTGGCGAAGAAAGAATCAAAGGAATATCATCTTCTGACTCAGAGTGAGGCTTGAAGGCGTCAATTTCTGCCATGACATCAGAACTCGAAGACGACAGCAGGCAATCAACAGCTGCAGACCACGTCATGGCCCCACAACTGTTACTACAACCCAAGCGGCAAGCCACCGCCCTGAGCTTTGAGACTCAACGCCTCACGCAAAGAAGGGGCCTTGGCACCTTGGTGCTTGGTTTAACAAATGTCCGACCTCTCGCTCACGCTCGATTGAAGTCCCACGGGCAAGAGTGCTTGATTCCTTGAAGGTAAACTATCTCTCCCTTGGTTTTGAATTGCAAGTTAAGCCTGAAACTGACGCTGGTTCAGTCTAGCCATGGGTAAAGAGTGTTTACGAGCTTCAGTCTTTGTGCTTTGCTTGTGCTTTTCTGTTTTTGCGAGTTGCAAATGGCGTTCTTCTCTGAGTTTCCATCGTTTGTTTTGTGTGTTTTGTTAAGTCTCCTGCTGTGTTTTTTTGTGTTTTGTTTGAGTCTCCTGCTGTGTTTTTCTTGTGTTTTTTTGAGTCTCCTGCTGTGTTTTTCTTGTGTTTTTTTTGAGTCTCCTGCTGTGTTTTTTGTGTGTTTTTTTTGAGTCTCCTGCTGTGTTTTTTTTGTGTTTTTTTTGAGTCTGTGTTTTCAGTTGAGTTTTTTGGCTGAGTTGTTTCTGAGTTTTTTTTGAGTTTTTTTTGGTTCCGCTAAAACCTCTCCTGTCTGAGCCCGTCTGGTCATAATTCAAGCGCGTGTCCCAATCTCGCGTGACTGAAACTCAGAAATTCCCCTTAGAAGCCGGCCTTGGCTTCCGGCCCCTGCCTGTCTTCTGTAGCTCTCAGACCACCGTATATGTTGGGAAACCGCATTTCCATTTCGACGCATTTCGACTCACGCACACAAAGACAACACGTCAAGGCAAACCAAAATATAGTAGCTTAGAAAAGCATACTGGCCGAGGCGGGCAAGGCGAAGCGTTCACAATTGCTGTGCCCAACACCCATGGTAAAGAATCACAAGGGCTTCTTATCGCGCCCACGGCAAGGGGACTGTCCTCCTGCAACTTTTATCTACCTGTTCCGTCTAGATTGTGACTCATAGGGGTGGGTCTTGTTTCTGGCACCACTGGCCAAAAACTCCACAAGTGACTTTCCTTGTAGTTTTCCCGTAAAACCACAACAACACAAGTGCCCTCAAACAAAGAGACCCCCATATGACCAAGCCCCCCAACTCCTGCAAACCGGTTGATCATCCTGGGTTCCTTTTCAAACATCTCACCAGTAGAGCAGGAACCACCTCGAATAGCCACAGTTCCGTGATAGTAAAACAGGGAAACTATTCGTTTAGGGGTTGACTATGTTTACCCTGGGGCTCAAACCACCATGAAAAGAACGGGGCTGGATATAACTGCCATTGTTTACCTAAGGATGGTCATCTAAATTGGGCCCCCCTTGTTTGCCAAAGGATTGTCATCATCTGAATTGGGTCCTTGCCATTCTTTTAATGCGGGCAAGGAACCCTAGGTTTTTGTTGGGAGCCAAACAAAAGAACTTGGGTGTCATCAAACCGGGGATAAAACTGGACCCAATTCTTTGCCATGAACGTCACCCCTCCCCCACAAACACTTTGACATTGAAACTCACAAGGTCATCACATAAAAAAGAGGCAACCCAGGAATTGGGGGTTGAGCAATATTACCTTCAGCCCCCAGTTTGGACCATGGCTAACTTCTCTCATGTGGTTGAAATATCAATCTTTTGAGTGGTTCTCCAACCAATGGTGATCCTACGTTTGTACAGGATACGGGTGTGTCTTTTTCAGGGGAACCCCTGTTGGTTTCCCCTTAAAACCCCCACACAAGGGGTACCTCGCGCAAGTCAGTTGACGGAAGTGAGCGAGCAGCGGGGTTCTGGGCTTTCTGGCCATGGAGAGGTATCGGGTCACCTCGACAGTGGCCTGGTGCTTCTGCGGGTGGTAGCCTCCCAGTTCCGTCGCGACAGATTTCGGAAGCTTCCGGAGACGTCCAGGGATTGGGGAGGCTTGGTCTGGGCTGTCCGTTTTCAGATGCCCCGTTAAAAGTGTTCCACTTTTAGTGAGTTACGTGAAACCCCCCCACGAAACACGAAAAAAACAAAAAAACTGAGGGGCTGGGAGCCACCAAGGTGTAGTTCCTCTTCCGGAGCGTAGGGGTATAATTTGAGTCCAGGAGGAGGAGAAACAAGAGCGATTCGACCAATTTTCGAGCCAAGCCGTGGTTTGGTCATTGCTTTCAGGTTCGGTGCAACCAGAGTTCTGTGAAGGGCAACCAAGCTTCCTCGTCAGTTTGCCCATGAAGGGGGGGGGTTCGACTTCGCGAGCGTAAAATCCGCAGGGTGAAAGACCCCATCTGGCCAAGACAGGACAGCGAATCCAAATGAACACGGGCGGGGTTTTGGGAGGCGAGTCCAACTGAACACCACGCGCCCCGTCACCCCAGAGTTGGGACTTAGGGATGTCTTCTTGGGGCTTCTGCCAATATGAAGAAAGAGGCGCAACATACCAAAAGCCATAGAATCAGCTGCAGGACATTCGCAAATTCTACAGCAACTTAGCCAAACACCTTTAAAACAAGCAACAAATGCTCAAACCACACTAAGAGCCTCCGGAAGCTAGCAACTGAACTATGGCATCAGGATTTACCAGTAGCCATATTTGTCGCCTTTGACGGCGCCCGCGAATCTAGCAATCTCTTAACCAGACCTGCCAACTACTGTGGATGGATGAAAGCCATTTCGCACCACCTAAGAAGCCCTGGAATGCCGATTCCCGAATACAAACAAGAAGTGGTTTCCCATGCTTTCAAAGTGGTGCAGGATTTTGTTGTCCATACAATCAGCTTTGACGTCAATTTTAACTCAGGGTTTACATGGGCTCAGGGGTGAATTGAGGCTACCATCTGGCAATGTCTTAAACTAGGAATGCTAGAAGCATGTGTTTCATTTTGATAGAACAGACAAGTCTACGCCCTTTCGTTCAACTCCTCTCGGATTGACACCTGCAAACCCTTGAGCGCTTCCGACCGGCCCGGTGACTTGTGCCTTGGTAGATGAAGGCCACAAAGCCCATCAGTGCATCGTACCAGCGCTCACCTGCCATATGGGCATGCAAAGCCAATCGACCCTGAATTGAGGCAGGGTTGTTTTTTGGAGGTTGTTGTTTTTTTGAAGGCATTTCTTTTTGGTGATTTAAAGGGCAGCCAAGAGGAAAACCACCATTTAGGGGTGGTCCCCTATTGTTAAACGCACTGATTTATTGGGGGTGTCCCCTTGCAGGTCCTAGAATCCCAAATTGGGCACAAGGCAACCAACCACGAAAGGCGCGACACCATGGGTAAGCTCGTGTTCCCTTGGTGAGCTCACTATACTTTGCCATCATTTTATCCAAGGTCTATGTCTAGGGGATTTCCAAACTGGCTTCTGTCTTCCTTTACATTTCCCGTTACACAAACCCCAAAAAAGTGGGTGCCCACACAAAAGACTGCCCCAAACGTTGACCCAAGGCTCGGCTCTGAGGACCAAATTGGTTGATCGATTTGGGTAGAAAATCATCCAACCCATCAAACCTTTGCGTGGGGTATCCTAAACCCTGAAGCGACGACTTGCAAACGCGCAGGTCCAAGCAACATAGAAAGCGGCGCTTGTAGCTCTTGCAGTTTCCTTCCTTCTCCGCGCCTAACCAGGTGTAGATGTAATAAAATGGGTGTGGCTCAAAATTAAACAGGAGGGGTTACGCAGGTTTTGGTCCATGTTTCCACTTACCAGCTGGGTTCCATTTTGGTACCGGTTTTTTGAGCCACAGCCAAAATGGACGAAAGCAAAGAGGCAAATGCAAGCCAGGAACAGGAAACACCCTTGTCGAACTTCAGAACGCTCTTCCTGTTCTCCGGAGTATCGCTCTGGGTGGAATGTTGACTTGTTGACTGGGCTGTCCTCCGATCCCCTGCCAAAAGTGACCACTTTTAGTGGGTTAATACCAAACCCCAACCACTCAACCGACCAAACAGCTAAATACCTGAGGCACCAGATGCCTTGGAACCCAACTAAAACACCCCAACCAAGGCCCACGAGAGAGACTCTTCGACTCGAACTCGGTCGCCCGAAAGGTTGTGTCTCAACCACATGGACTTTCCGTGGAATTTCCATGGAAAAGTAACCCTGTTCTTGAAAGTTGATTTTAAAGGAACACCCCCTCCAAGAGAAATCAAGAAGGACAATGAACAACTCCGCCCCCCAAATATATATATATATATATATATAAAATCAGGATGTAGTGGAATTCCCCTTGAACAGTGGCAATTTCCAAGAAGATTCCGATGAAACTGCAAGTTTTGGTTGTGAACAACCCTGAAATTCAGCCATAGCCGGACAGGCCTGGGATGTATCTGCTCACGCCAGGGCGGCCCTCCTGACAGGCGTACGAAAAAACTCCTTGGGTCTCAGGAGGAAAAACCAGCAAATCGTACGGGACAAAAGCTCGCTTGCTGAGTGGATGGCCGCAAAAAGTCCCAACAAATATATTTGCCACTAAAACTCATGAACTTGGACTGGAAAAAAACACATGAACTTTAGGCTTTTAGTCTAAAATGGTTCAAACCCAAAAAGTGGAAAGTTCATGAACTCAAGTGACTTTAAGGTCCCTTTAACCCCAAAGGCTCCTGGCTTCGGCTTATGGAAGACCCGACTTTGAAGCATTAGACACCCCGGGAATTGGTGGGACCCGGTCTCAAAACCAGCTTCTCGGACAGGAAAACGGTCCAAACCAGGAACTTCCGAAAGTCAGAATCCAGGTGCATTTTGACCCCATGCTCGACCCCAGTTAATTGCTAGGAGGGTGTTGGGTCTAGCGGGCAATCATCACTTTTGGAGGGCACTACCCCCTATTCATAAATAAAGTGGGGCTGATTTTTATTGGGTCAACATTAAAGAGAATCGGAGATTCGAGACGTTCCGCGGTGTGATTGGCCGTGCTATCTAGACCGCGGTGTGACTTGCTAGGCCGTCACGTTGATCCTTAGACAAGTTGTCTTTCCAGGATATTGGATTAAACGAACAATGACAACACCCAATACAGTTTCGAACAACGGAGGGCTTGGCCCTCCCCCCCCCAAAAAAACGGAGCCTCGAACTCCTGCGGATTTTTTTTTGGATCCTTCTTTGGGTTTTATGCTGACTTGGGGAATATCATCGCTCGGTACGGGGGGATTGGCCAGTCGAAGAGCCTCAGAGACCGCTCGGGTCCCAGAAGACCGTTTGAAATAGGTGGACCTTCGGCAAAAGACAAAGATCTCAGTCGTTCAGTGACCCTGGAGCGAAAAGGATTGGAACCCTTTTTTGGGGTTTGGACCATTTTAGTGGGGCAGCCATCAACAAAAAAAGGGAAAAAGGGAGCCACTGAACAAGTGAGAGATGGGAAGTTCCAAAGGTCAAAAGGCCGATTCGCATTGGGAGGTGAATTATGAGCCATGACTTAAGGCCCTCATAAGGCATTCAATTCCACAGAGCGGGCCACTGGACAGTGGCTTGCATGAGCACCAAAACAACCGTTCGAAGCAGTAGCTACAGCTACGATTGACACACACACACACACACACAGGCGCACGAACACACAAACACACACACACAGACAACTTTGCAACAAACAGGGCTTGCAATGGACTCATCGGCTCTGGTGAGTCGCCTAGACCTTCGTTCGACCACGGGTCTTTGCTATTAGGAGGACCCCCCTCCCCCTGTTTTTCCATGACCAATCATCCCCCCAAGCGGAGGTCCCCAATAGTCACAGATAAGTCCACTGGCAAGAACATATGTTCCTTTTCAATCAGACTTTAAAGGTTCGTTCCCTTAATTCCCTCTTCCATTTGCTTAAGTCCACTGGGGAAAAACAACATGTTCTCCCAGTAGCGATAGCTTCCCTTCAATCTCCCCCAAGGCTCTCTCTCCTGGTCATCCCGTAACCAGCCCGGCCGCCCTGGAGGAGCTATTGCTGACCTGAGGTATTGTACGGGTGTGTGTGTGTGTGCGCGTTTGCTTTGAGGCTCGGCACCCATTTCCCCTAAGAGGGCGGACCACAAGAAAACACACACACACACACACACACACACACACACACACACACACACACACACACACACACACACACACTGTGACACACACACACACACAAACACACAAACACACAAACACACAAACACACAAACACACAAACACACAAACGCACAAACACACAAACGCACAAACACACAAACACACAAACACACAAACACACAAACACACAAACACACAAACACACAAACACACAAACACACAAACACACAAACACACAAACACACAAACACACAAACACACAAACACACAAACACACAAAAACACAACCACACAAACACACAAACACACAAACACACAAACACACAAACACACAAACACACAAACACACAAACACACAAACACACAAACTCACAAACACACAAACTCACAAACACACAAACACACAAACACACAAACACACAAACACACAAACACACAAACACACAAACACACAAACACACAAACACACAAACACACAAACACACAAACACACAAACACACAAACACACAAACACACAAACACACAAACCCACAAACACACACACACACAAACACACAAACACACACACACACACACACACACACACACACACACACACACACACACACACAAACACACAAAAAAACACACACAAAAACACACACAAAAACACACACAAAAACACACACAAAAACACACACAAAAACACACACAAAAACACACACAAAAACACACACACACACACACACACACACACACACACACACACACACACACACACACACACACACACACACACACACACACACACACACACACACATGTTTGGTCGTTCCTGTCATGTGCCTTGGTCAAAGCACCCCCTTCTTGTTGACCACCAACAGCAGTCAGCAGAACCTTAAAATATCAACCAAGGCTTTCTGAGTCTTGCATCAACATTTCCAGTCATGTATGGTGAGTCCCCATGACCCTTGCCAACTTCTGTACAAATTTAATTGAACATCATACCGGTATGGCCGCGTGTCAGAAGAAAGACAGGGACCTTGCTGGGGATAGATCAAAAACGGAGCGGCTGAGAATGTCGGGGGGTGGCCAATGTAAAACTGTCCATATTCCAAATAATCACTACAAGAGGATCCGTCTTATAAACCAAGAGGAGGGTCTTCATTAGGGTGGGTGAAATTTCGTCCTCGAACATGATTGCGTCTGCCTATCTAAGATTGCTTTCACGTCTGTGCGCAGTTGCAAATTTAGCCACACACACCACACCCACCCGCCCACCCGCCCACCCCCCCACCCCCCCACCCACGCACGCTGGGAATCTCTTGGCCAACCGACGTCGCAACTACCAAAATAGACAACGGAAAAGAAAGTTGGTACCCCTATTCGAACCTCTCTACTGGAAGAGGACCTAGAAAAGGACACCACCTACCTGGAGGGGTCCCTTTTTGAGAAACACCCGATTGAGGTTGGGGTGGATGTAGGGTGGGGTCCAATGATGGTGTGGGTTGCACTGGGTCCCTGAAAGTGGTCGAACATTTATGCGGGGTTCTAATTTTATGACTGCAACCGTATTTCGGGGGGCAGGGGGGTTAGGTTGAGAATGTCACTTTGGACCCACAAAAAGGCCCCTCCCAACATGGAGTCTTGGGGCGGTTTGGGGGCGGTTTGCGGGCGGTTTGGTTGCCATTTTCCTGGGATCCTCTGGTGGGTCCAATCTTTTCCGGTGGGATTGAACAAAGCGTAAGGTATCTGGACTGCCAAGATTCCAACTTAAAAATGGGTGATCGCCCCGAAATTCGGTGGTGAATTCCTTTGCTTGGGTAGATTGAGGGTGCAGGTACTTGAGCAGAAATTAATTTCATAATCAGTTCCCTCCTCTCGCCATCTCCTTCGAGATCAGCTGGGGCTGCCGTTGCAGAGCGCTTCTGCGGCGACCCAAAGAAACAGTTTTGTGGGAAAAAGCTGGATGAAAGTGCGGACATCGACCAGTGACGGTTCTTGCACGACTGCCCTGATAACAAGGGCGTGAGACAACGTCCGCGGTTTGTGGGAGCACTTGATGGAGAACCCTATAGCCTTCACTGCTGAAGCTTAACTAGGACCTCTGGAACGTAGACGTTTGACTCGCAGGTGCGATGTTTCACTTGGAGAAATGTTTGCATGGCTATACAGCAGGTGTTTGGCTGCCACTCGTACCTAGTAAAGCATAAACATGCGGTGTTTAACATCGACGCGGGAAGGTAGGGGGAATGTGGCTCCATTCTTTGAGTACCACTGCATATTCAGAACGCATGCCCAAAATTTGTCAGGACCAACGCACCTGAAGGAATGCCGCATGATAGCCCTACACAGCCACAGGCAGCCAGCCCAAGGGGACGAGCAAGCCGCTGCAAAATCTCTGGAGTCCAGGAGGGGCAGAGGTTTTTTCCGACGAGCAATGACCGTGTTGATGTGGTCGTCGGTTTTTGAGTGAGAGGAACAGGTGCAGCCTGCAGCAGAGAAGCACTTTCGGAATCCATCATTAGTGGGTCCATGTGTGTGTGTGGGTGGGTGGGTGGGTGGGTGCGTGCG